GTAGCACCGTTAGTTCCTACCGTCAAGAGGGGGAAAGAGCGAAGGGGGTGGGGCATTTTTCTCTTCTCTATCTCATGAGATCTCGGATCTCGGATCTCTCGAGACTGAGCACTGTTAGTCTCAACCGTCAGGAGAAACGCCGCAAACACTACGGAGCTGGTTCTTAACCTTTTCGGCAGGGGTACGCAGTTTCGTCCTATGCCCCACGTCTTGACCGGGTCGGCCTTCCAACAACAACAGCAACAGCAACAACAAATACAAACAAACAACAACAACAACAACAACAACAACAACAACAACAACGCCACCAGCACCAGCAACCGTATCAGCGGCGAAACAACGACAGACGAACCTTCGCGAACACTTCCCCCAGCTTAGCCGTGACGGCGTTCCAGGCCTCCTTCTGGTGCACGACCGCCGTCTGGTAGCTGCAGAACAAGAACCACACATCCTCGTGGAGGGTCTTTCCCCCGACTTGGTCCCCCAGCGTCTGGGGTTGGTGAATTGGTGGTGGTGGTGGTGGTGGTGTCGGAGAGAGTGTTATTTCGTGTCAGCACGAGGTGTGGATGCTCGAGCACCGAAGTGAAAGAACACACGTCGAGAAGCGACGAAAAACAAAAAACAAGACCACCAAGGAGAGGGAGTGAAGCACACCTGACACTCTGTTGGGCACCGCTGCGGGCATAAGCGGCAGCAAGAAACGTGTCTCAGCGATCAGCATGCATCGCTCGAGAGAACATAGTACGAAGCAGGCGATTCTGTAACGAAGGCACCCGACCCAGTCACAAGAACAAGGTTCCGAAAAAAATGTTGGAATTCCTCCGCGACGTGGCCCGCCCGTTAAGTGCGTACAGTACTCTCGCACCCCGCGTCCCCCTCCCTTCAACACCCAATAGCCGTACCCCCAAAAAAGGTAACAGCTGAAACAGACTTACGGGTAGAGAAGATGGTACCATTGGACGGGGCATCGGCATTGACGGCAGCTCTTTGTGTCCATTGCTTTCGCGGATGACGCTTGCTATTCCAGCGACGGGTTATTGCAAAAAAAAAAAGAAAAATCGTCCCCTTCTCCCTCGACGATAACTCAAAGCTCTCGCATGTCTCCAACTACCGTACGGCTCATTCGTTTCACTCAACCCAAAACCCCGCTACACGCATGATAACCCCCCCCCTCATGCGGTATATCGTTCCGTCCCGGCATTGCAGGAATGCCGGGTCAAAGGTCTGACAACTACGGCATGCGTTTGCATGAGTATACCCCCACCCTTTCGTCCCCACACCAAAATTTCACAACACTTCAAGGATGCGGGTTGACGCAAATGCTGCCACACTTACTACTAAGTCTCCGACATGCATTACATGAGCTGCCCTTGTCCCCGCATCAACACATAACAAGAATGGGGGTTGACGAAAATGCGGCGATATCTCCAACGGTGGCAAGGAAAAACATCATCACCTCTTTCAGGTGCAGGAAGGCCTGTCCAACGCGCTTGTCGATGTTGGCCAGGCTCAGCAGGCAAGCGGTTCCTTCCTCCGATAGCTCCTTGAATCGCCGCTGCATCTCCTTACCCATGACCTAATACGAAAGCACAGGATGTCAAGACAAAAATATTATAGAACGTGATTTTTGACCTTTGTATCCCGCTGTGCTGCATATCCTTGCCCTTGACCGAATATGAAAGCACCGGATGTCCAGACTAAACAAGAGATGAAGTGCTTGTATGAAGATCTTCGTATCCCGTTGGCCCCGAAATATTATTGTGTTTCGATCCTGACCGACACCTAGAAACATAGACAGGGATAGGAGAGATAGTGTAGCAAAGGGAGAGAAGAACGACAAGTGCTCACGACCCTCGCTTTTTTATTTCTGTCGAAAGGCTTTGGTGATGCCGTACCTGTAATACAGTGCGCGCTGGCGTTAGACACTCGGCGCGTGAAAAAAAAACTGAGACGGAGTGCGTCTCTTGGGGAATATCGCTGCAGCCTTGCGGGCACAGAAAAAAAGATCATCTCCCCGCAAAGTGCTGCCGCCCTCCGGGTTTGCAGGCTGTTTGTTCACACGCCCTTTGCGGGGTTTCAAGACGAAATGGCGCTACTGAGACATACGCGAAACAAGTGGCGGCCAAAGAACGCTCGATGCCACCAGATGATCCCAAGTAAGACTAACGGGAAAATTCTCCAACTATTACAGTACCTCGCAAAACGGCATCAACAGCAACTACGACAGTCGCACCATGATAAACAACCCCGAAAAACAACAACAACCCCGAAAAACAACAACAACAACAACAACTGCGACACACGCACGCCACCAACCAACAACAACCACCCACCACCACCACAACACCATCCGACAAACAAAACATTTTTAGCGAGCAATGCTCTCCCCACCTTGACCTTCCCGAGCATGTCTTCGTGCTCCAGCTCGTCGCAGAGAGCGTCACGGTTACGCGCGGCTCGGCAGTCCATCTCCGCCATCTCCCAGATCGCCTTCACCTGATGACGTCAGCGACGCCACCCACATGCAGCCAGGAATGTGGGAAACGATGCTCAGGTGAATGGTCTCTGGGAGGGCCTAGGTGTTGCCGACTACGGCGGGGTGCACGTACCGGCACACAAGAACCGCACCAACACTACCGAACGGGCCCGCTACAGCACCAACACGAACACCACCAACCAACACCAACAACAACAACAACACCAGTGACAACACAACCACCACCAACAACAACAACAACAACAACAACAACAACAACAACAACAACAACAACAACAACAACAACAACAACAACAACAACAACAACAACAACAACAACAACAACAACAACAACAACAAAAACAAACAAAAACAAAGACGACGCCAAAAAAAAAAAAAAGAGACAACAAACCGATATCCTCACCGCACTGTTAGTGGGTGCTTCTTTCCCTGGTCCTCCAGCCACCAGCAGCTCCACGTCGATGGACGCCGTCACACCCTTGGTCTTAGCCTTCTGCTCCTCGTGGCGAATCTTGTCATGCCTGTGTCGCACGGGCGCAGACATGAAGATGGAGGGAGGGCAAGGGGCGGGGGATAGAAAAGGGGGAGGGCGACAAATTGAGAGAACTCTTGGGGGGGAGGGGGGGGGGGGGGGGGGGCGTTAATGTCCCCCAA